GCAAGGCCAGACCGGGGCATTCGCAAAGCTAAATCGGGGCAGACGCAGAGTTTAACCGGGGAACTCGTAGGTGTCCACGCTCATCTCTTATCCCCAAGTGATTCAAGAGACAATTCCCCAGTGTGCGTAAACTTGGGACATGTATCCGGAGGGATCCGCATGGTGTTCAGTATCCATTCTTCTGCATATTCACTTATATCACCCCCTCAACAGTTCAGGATGTATGGAGGTTTGGTCAGATTATCCCTTCCTTCAACGGTACGATTCAGAACCCAGCAGTGTACCTAAAGACTCGCTTCGTCAGCAATTCAATCCTCACCAGAGTCAACAACGATCTTTGGTCTTCAAGAGCTCCCCAGTGTGTACTCTTATCAGTATCCCCAGCAATCTTTGGTACTGCAGACTCCCAACGCCGGTATATACTGACATCCCCAGTGATGAGCAATGGCTCCCAGCAAGCCTTCTTTTATCCCCATGAAGTTTATTTCTTCGCATTGCATATAGTTATCATTACATATCATTGCATCCTCAAAAGCGCGTAGCTGATCCATCAAAGTGGATCTTTGCGTCAAAAGAAATTCAAACATGCATACAAAGCATAAGCCATACCAGGTACCTTACACCAAAGACCTGAATTATTCAAGGACAACGATACATCCCTACAGAAGAGTATCATGCCCGAAATCCCCAATCAGTGACCTTCACCTTTTCAATGCCAAACAAAATCAATACACTTTGCCGTTCTAAACCCAGTTCCTGTCTGGTAGTCAATTCCCTAAACACTCATCCGTGTCCATCCCTAAACACTCGTCTGTGTCCATTCCTAAGCACTCGTATGTGTCAAGTTTCCTAAACACCCATCGGGTCAGTTATTCAAACACTCGTCCGTGTTTATACTTTTTGATACTCGTCCGTATCTTCTTTCAATACCCGACCGTATTGAATCAAACACTCGTCCGTGTGTAACCTTTTGATACTCGTCCGTATCTTCTTTCCATACTCGTCCGTATTGAATCAAACACTCGTCCGTGTTTATACTTTTTGATACTCGTCCGTATCTTCTTTCAATACTCGTCCGTATTGATTCAAACACTCATCCGTGTTTATACCTTTGATACTCGCCTGTATCTCCTTTCAATACTCGTCCGTATTGATTCAAACACTCGTCCGTGTTTATACTTTTTTCTTTCAATACTCGTTCGTATTGAATCAAACACTCGTCCGTGTTTAACCTTAGATACTCGTCCGTATCTTCTTTCAATACTCGTCCGTATTGATTCAAACACTCGTCCGTGTTTAACTTTCTTGATGCTCGTCCGTGTCGCTTATCTAAACAATCATCATGTCATAACCCATGTTCCCTTCTTCGAACCTGAGATCGCCTCTTGGCTAGGTTCTTCCTTCAAATCTTTGTCAAACCTGAGATCGCCTCTTGGCTAGGTTCTTCCTTCAAATCACCGTCGAACCTGAGATCGCCTCTTGGCTAGGTTCTTCCTTCAAACCTCCGTCGAACCTGAGATCGCCTCTTGGCTAGGTTCTTCCTTCAAATCTTTGTCGAACCTGAGATCGCCTCTTGGCTAGGTTCTTCCCTCAAACCTTTGTCGAGCCTGAGATCGCCTCTTGGCTAGGTTCTTCCTTCAAATCTTCTTCGAACCTGAGATCGCCTCTTGGCTAGGTTCTTCCTTCAAATCTTTGTCGAACCTGAGATCGCCTCTTGGCTAGGTTCTTCCTTCAAATCTTTGTCAAACCTGAGATCGCCTCTTGGCTAGGTTCTTCCCTCAAACCTTTGTCGAGCCTGAGATCGCCTCTTGGCTAGGTTCTTCCTTCAAATCTTCGTCGAACCTGAGATCGCCTCTTGGATAGGTTCTTCCTTCAAATCTTTGTCGAACCTGAGATCGCCTCTTGGCTAGGTTCTTCCTTCAAATCTTTGTCAAACCTGAGATCGCCTCTTGGCTAGGTTCTTCCTTCAAATCACCGTCGAACCTGAGATCGCCTCTTGGCTAGGTTCTTCCTTCAAACCTCCGTCGAAACTGAGATCGCCTCTTGGCTAGGTTCTTCCTTCAAATCTTTGTCGAACCTGAGATCGCCTCTTGGCTAGGTTCTTCCCTCAAACCTTCGTCGAACCTGAGATCGCCTCTTGGCTAGGTTCTTCCTTCAAACCTTCGTCGAACCTGAGATCGCCCTTTGGCTAGGTTCTCTGTCAAATCACTCTCATGTATCACCTTGGGATCGTAGGTCGCTCGTAGACCTCGTCTGCTGTCTTTTCATACCAACCATTTGTCTTGGCATCAAGCCACGTTACAAGTCCAATCTCTGTCTCTTCATTGAAAAAAACAAATTTCCTTTCCCCAACAGATAACACAAAAAATAAATAAAGAAAACACCTACACTATCTACCAAAACAAATTTTTGGCATTGGTATTTAATCATCTTCAACCTTGAACTTCCGAAAGGCACGCGCCAATCGTACTTTCAAGTTTAAGACGATTAAATAGGGGCAGCTGTAATACCCCAAATTTGTCCTACCCTTTTACTTCCTATCTGGCTTACGCATTTTTACATTTTTCTCACATTAGGTCATCTAAACACATCATGCATCATTAATCAATAAATTGGCATAAGATCACGGTTTTGAGGAATAAGGGTTGGTGTATGGCTTTAAGGCTCCCATCTTCGCATAAGCTTGTTTCAGTTGATTTCTCCATTAATAATCTGTTTGAAGCTAGGTTTTCATTTCATGGACCTTATCATCATCAAGATACGAGGCTATTCTTTTCTTCTCAATGTCAAGTTGCAAGGTTTTATGAGACGAAGCTAAAAATCAGGGTTTATACATTTTCATATTTTGAGCTTGTCAGCATTCTACCTGAGGTTCATTCCATATCAAGGTATTCGCATGTCTCATCTTTCATATTAATCTGCAAAGAATTCCTCAGGGCATAGTCGTTATCATCTATTGAGAAGGGGTCCAAGACGTCGTTATTCTAGTGCTCATATAATCGGGACATGGTACAAGATGTTGATTGTGATCAAGGTGTCGTTATTTCAAATGTTCATTGCTTGACAACACAAGTTTGGTTTATACTGAGGAATTGAATTGAATTAGGGGTTCACTGAAGTTGTGGTTTGATTAGAAATCATTCATTAATATTTGAAGTGGATTTGGAGAAAATCAAAGTTCTTAAATATTTGCGTGGTTTTTCTTGGAATTCAAACCACAAGTATGAAAACATACATCAAATTCATCCAACCATCAAAATATTGTCCAAATAGCCTCTCTTGGATTCATTCAAGATTCATGTCTCTTTTGGATACCTTGCAAATATTTTGGATTCATACCATTTATTTGAATTCATACAAAGGCCATTTCATTATGTGGAAATAAAAGTCCAAATTCCATTACAATTATTTAAATACATACAAGTCCAAATTCCATTACAATTATACATAACCTCCATACATTTTTACCAAAACCTATCCTAATTTTCACCGTCAATTCCATAAAGAGCTGTTTCTTCCGGATAGCACTTCCTAACAGGGTATAGCGTCCATGTTTTATCTCAGTAAGATTGAGCATAAATTGACCTTGCCTCCTTCTCTTCTCACTCTTCCCATTGGAGAAGCCAAACCGCTATGAACCTGAAAATAGCAACAAAAACAAAGGCACATGGTTTTGGGATTATGGTGAAGAAATCGATTCATCATTTAATTTTAATTATACTGACAAGATCAAATTCCAAGTTCAAAGTGTGAGTTACCCTCCAGTCCAATAAACAATCCAAAAGGGAAACAACCAATTCAAGTATCCAAAGCAAGAAAAGGAAAAACAAACCATCACTGATGCACTTCAATCCATGCTATAGTTCAGCACCGGGATCAAGTTCGAAATAAATGCAAAATGAGTCCATACAAAACAAATTCACGTGCATCGAAATTCAGCCATACAAAACAAGGGTAGTAAATCAAAGAACATATATATCATCCGCAGTCCACCCTATTTTCAAGCGTCAATATTCAATCCAATCTACTAACTAGTTTCTTTTACATAACTATAAACTTCACCAACAGTTTTTTATATGGCTTAACCCAAGTTTCCACCAATCACTAGTTTTTGCTGGTGTTTGCTAACCCCTTTCTCAGTTGGCTCAAATTGATGAACTAACCTGCAAACTAACCAAATCCCCTTAACAGAAATTCTCACAGTTTACAACTACCCATAACTAACTCAACTGACTTGCAACAGAAAATAATATAACAAACTTCTAACTTTTCCCTAACTTCTAACTATAACCAACCATTTCCCACCTCTTAACCACCTAACAGAACTTCTAACAGCTTCCTAACCGAATTCTAACCAACTAACATATCTATAACTAACTTTTCCCTCATTCCTAACTGTAACAAACTCCTAACTAATTTCTAACATTTTTCTAACTTAACCCAAAACCATATCTCAACTAATCCTAACAGAATTACGAAGTCCATAAACAACCTCTAACTGATTAAAATCTCACCATTCTATTCCATAACTAATTCATTCGATTCAACAGTTCAGATTCAGCACCTAACAGAATTACCAACCTCTTAACTATAAAAACAAACTCCAGCATATACATAAAGAAAAAACCACAGTCAGAAAGATACGATTATTTTACATTAAGAAAGAAACTCACCTTTACAATCATTCCTTCATCACTTCAGAAGAATGGCCATGAAAAATTTCTCAGGAAAACCTCTCAATTCTCTCTTCAACTCTATCTTCCATAATCTTCAGGCTTGAATCTTCATCGTGTTTTCACCTTCAAGCCTTATCTTCATCTTCAACCCTGATTCCATTTTCTCGTTCTACAATATCGTCAAACCTTGAACCTCCATCAATTTCAATCCTCTTCTTCAGTATCTAGGTGTATCTATGCATTAACACTTGTTATCATCATGTTTCATCATCTTCATTCCTCAACAGCAACACGCATATCAATTTATAAGCAGAAATGCAATTTTCATGAGTAAGCGAAATAAGAACAAAGAAGAAGAAGAACATCGAGGGAATTGTAACGGTGCAGACAAAGATCGGTGAACAGAGAGATCAATGGAGAGGATGAAGTCACTGTGAGGTGTCGAAGGCCGATTGATGGGAGCCGGAAGGTTGAATCGTAGATGAGATAAAGGCGAGACGACTTGAAACAAAAGAAAGGTTGGAGATGTTGTGAGGGGAGCATGAAGAGGACAGAGAATAGAAGGTTGAATTGAAGCCGCTGCTGATTTGACAAGAGATGGGGAGTGTGAGACGGTGGTTTCATGGAGGAGAGAGCGACGAGGTGTTGACTCGTGAACTGTTGTATCCACGAATCGAAGACAGGTGAAGAAGATAAAGGCATCAGATGGAAGAAGGCGGAAAAAGGATATGGACGACGGTGGCGAAATCGGAGAAGCAGGAAGAGGACGGTATCACGCCGCCGCTTGCAAGGAGAGAAGGACATTTTTTCTTAACCCTATTCCTTTCCCAATTCCATACGTTTTTTTCTTTTCTTTTTTAATTCAATTGTCTCATTGTTTTATTATTCTTAATTCAAATTAATAACAATTATAATTAAGTAAATAATAAATAAAAATGTTGAAAATCTTTTTGGGCAAATTACTTCAACACCCACATTTCTAGACTTTATACCCCCTAACTCTTCTAGTTTTTTTCTTTTATTATTTTAGTTTTTTCTTTTAGTTTAATTTTTTTTAATCAATAATAAAACAATAAAAATAATAGAATATTTTTAGAATAGAATTTCTTTTTAGAATTTCGATTAGAATTTTTTCTATTTTATTTTTCATATTCGATAATCATCTTATTGACTTTTTTAGTCAAGATTTTTGTGATAGCATCGATATAACTCTTGCAATGTGGAATACTCGGGGTTAATTCTTCGATCACTTGCCCAAGGGAACTTTGATAGAATTCTCTTACCGCTTGCACAATTTTGAAGAGGCAACGGACCTCCTCCGTTCAGTATTGTCGCAAATCTATCTTATTCTTCATTTTCGTGCTTTATCGTAATTCAAACATGCTAACATTAGGTAGAATTCCTTCAAAATTCTAACTTTAGGTCTAACCACGCATAATAAAATAAGGTTTAGAAATGGGCTAATTCCCCTTTAACTTTTCTTTCCCTTTCGCATACGTACCTAAAACTAAAACTTCTTTTCTTTCAAAAAATTCAAAAAAACTTTAAAACTATTGATGAGAATCATGCTTCTGCTTAGTACGGGAAATGATAAGCGAGTCTCTTCTCGATCTTATTGTTCTTCATCTCAAGCATAGGTGTGGTTCAATTCTCAAAGACTCCTTTCATGACTAAGTAGAAGAATGGCTAATATCTCTCTCTTGAGGTCAATCAGTCATCATCTACAACAAAAATAAAAAACAAATTCAAACCATTTTATGCGCTCGAGCACCATTTCTCTAGAAAACCCTTTTCATGTAAGGACATGATTAATTTACTTCTGTGCTAACGCATAAGCCTCCAAAGGTCGAGCTGCGGCAAAAGGCGGAATTAACTTCGTCCACAAAAAAACATCTATAACAAAATACAAAACCAATTCAAATCTTTTGTGCACTCGAGCACCATTTCTTTTAAACCCTTTCGGGTAAGGACATGATTAATTTACTTCTGTGCCAACGCATAAGCCTCCAAAGGTCGAGCTGCGGCAGAAGGCGGGATTAACTTCGTCCATAAAAAACACAAAACAAACAAAAAAATGTGAGCCGAACTACGGTAGCTCTGATTCCTCAAAACGGATACGTAGGCATTGAGGTAGGGCCCAAGCGAGCACAATTTTATTTTCCCTACATTCTTTTTCCCCTTTCTTTTGCATGCATTCCTCCAGTAGTATAGTAAACAGTAAGCATAGATTAAACACACCCATAAGATAGATAACAAGAGTGGATACCGTAGAGTACTACGGGCGTGTGGGGTGCTAATACCTTCCCCTCGCGTAACAGACTCCCTTACCCGATCTCTCGGTCGCAAGACCGTGACTTCTCCCTTCTCAGGTTTTCTCGATATTTACCTTTCCCTACATGTGGGATAAAAGACGTTCGATGGCGACTTCATTGTTTTGATGATTTTCATCCGGTTGTTTCATACATTCCAGTGCGATTCAAAGGAAAATAATCATTCCATTACATTCCTGAGACTTCAAGGAAGGTTTTCAGATCAGAACCATCAACTCTAACGTCCAGAATTGGTAGAACCACCTCATCCTGTTCATACTTTTTTCCATGTTCTTGCATCATGATTCACGCATTGTTGTTAATTTTTAATATTTGATTTATGTTCATTGGACCATTCTAAAGCTAACTGTGTATTTTAATTGAGTTTTCACGCATCGTATGAATAATCACCATTGAAGCACGCTAGGGTTCTTCAAGCTTCAAATTGGGCATTTTTGAATACTGTAAAATTAAAACATCCTAATACCATGGCTAAACTCAGGAAGCTTGGACGAACCTAACCATCCTATCGCGCCCAATTTCTGATCCAAGACGAGCTATTCGCTATTTTTGAAAAGGGTGTATTTTGGGGGGGTTTAGAACCCCCGCTAATTCTTTTTATTTTTCAGATACAGCAAGCCAACGAAGAAGAAGACTATGTGGCACCATCTGATTGAGCAATTTGAATTAACGCGCGTTTTTTATTGTTTCTAAGCCACTGACCATTTTTTCTCTTATATTATTTATTGGCTATTCTATGTACAACGCGTATTAGCAGCTCCACTGGTCAGGCGTAGGATTGGTAACCTCTAGGACCTGGGTTCGAATCCCAGGTCCCCCTCCCTTTCAATAATATTTTTTCTAATATCATCCTGTGCAGTTTCTTCCCTGAAGACCATCATACACTCACAATCCAGGCACGCCACATGGCTACTGAAGGCAATCCAAAGGCCTTGATTTGAAGAGTACCATAGGCATAAGTCAATGAAGCTGCACGTGGCCAATAAAGTCAACAAGGCCAGGGTTCTAATGGGCCAGAATTACTAGGAATATACCTCCAATTTGGGGACAGAACCCCCCATGGTTTGCTCTTTTATCCTTTTTTATATTTTTTTATTTTTATTTGTTTTAATTAATTTCCTTTAAATTCTTTAATTTAATTTATTTTCATAAAATATAAAAATAGTAAGAAATCAGAAAAGACAAAAAATAAATATATTTGATTCAGTATTTTTTGTAAATAAATAATATCATTTAATTTAGTTTTCAATTCTAGGGTTAATTTTAATATCTTTTCTTAATAAATTAAAAATTTGTAGAATTAGGTTTTAATCACTTTAATTACTTTTTCTTTTATTTTCTCATCACTAATAATTAATTATTTATTTTTATAAATCAAAATTGCATTAATTAATTAGGTTTAATTTTAGGTTTAATTTTCATATTTTCTTAATAAATTAAAAAAATAGCTAGAATTAGGTTTTAATTTCATTTAATTCTCATTAAAATCATAAATACCAAAAACCCTCAAAAATAATTTCTTTTTATTTTATTTTAATTAATTTGTTAATCGTAATTTAATTTCATTAAAAAGGGTCCAACGCCCTCGCTTTCGATTATTAATTTGTTTCGCGCATTTATTTCCTTTCTTATAATTTTTATGTAATTCTCCCAAAGCCGTGTAAATTTATATTTCTCGCACCTTCCTTTATTTTATATCAAATCGGGTCCTGGATTTAATTTGGCGATGTGGACCCGCGCCTTTGTAATAGTTTAGGAACTTTATATTTCTCGCAACTTTTTTAACTGTTAACAATTGCATGCAAGAATGAACGTCTAAATAAAAACAAATGCGTAGATCACCCATGACATGAACAAGACAAAATATCTGAAAACGACACACGAATCACACACCACCCCTAGGGTACGCCCCACTGTTGCCTTGCCTCGAAAGGTGATCGTCGAGTAGAGGATGTTTTAGTAAGTCCTCATGATCCGGGAACCTGGCATGAGGGTAGCTTCTAAGGTATCTTCCTATTGCTCCGGTGATCACCATGTCCCGAACCTTCGAATTGACCCGAACACCTCCAACGGTGGTGCTACCTACCTCTCAATGGTGGGATGGCACTGCTTTAAAGGACATCTACACAGACGAATTCCTTAGGGTAGGTAGACGACTCTAGATACTTGCTCTAATTTCAAAACAAATCAAAAATACTTTTCACACCGACACTTTTCAAAAGCTTTCGAAAGCAACTTTTTCGAACACTCTTGAGGACTGATACAAGAGTCGAACTGAAATTTTCAAAGAACTTTTTAAAACCCACAATTGAAAAGCAAACAAACCATTTTTGAAAACACAATGAGCAAGTATCTAAGAGCCCATGGATAACCATGGATAGAAAGGGTGATAACACCTTCCCTTTCTATAACCTACCTCCCGAACCGAGAGCAATCTCTATAAGGAATTTTTCTGTGCTTTTGTCCTTTCCATTTGGAGAAAATAAAAGACGGTGGCGACTCTTGCTTCCGCGACATTTCGCGAACCAGCGTTAAACAGTCAGTTCCAGATCCACCGATCACAGAACTGGCGACTCTGCTGGGGAGATAAACTTAAAGTGAGGTGTACCTTAGGGTTAGTTCATAACTGTGTTTTCAATTGTATTGATTTGCTTGCTTTAAATTGTGGGACTGTCTTGGGAGTTCTATAGATCCTAACCCGGATCTGGAGATACCCTCTTAGAAAGTAGCAACAAGGTTGTGAGGGAACTGTGCGGGGTATACCGACATGGTTGAAACAGTCTGCTATGTTGATGTGGCACTTTGGTGTACACCGGTAACCCTTGAGTTCAATCAAGGAGAGTACGGGGCCTCCATGTGGTGTCATGAAGCATCAACTGACCTTAGGAACCTTAATTGAACTATCTTGGCCTCTTTAGGGTAGTGAGATAACTGACTTTGGTGCAGTCCGAGGTTGGTTGATACTCGATACTACACTCAATTGAGGGTTGCTTTCCTGGAATATTTCGGTCGCCAGTTCAGTGGCTAAATTGAAACGATGAACAATGAAAGCAACCCAGTGATATTGGGATCCTTAGAACCCGGTTACTTCTAATAGGACAGGTTGAGCCCACCAACTTCAAGAGGGTAATACCCAGACCTCATGCTGGCCTAAACTCTAAGGGCTTCTCTTGTGTGACTTGTGTGCCTTCGTACTTGACTACTTGCATGCTTGTTATCTGACCCAGGAACTACTTGCAGGTTTTTTTATAGTCCTTAATTGGGACTCATAACAGGGTTTACTAAGTTTCTTGCAGGTTTTGGTTTGCAGTCCTTAACGGGGACTCATAACAGGGTTACTCACATTACCCCATGCATACCATAACATCATACCATTGCATACATCCTAACCCATTTCAAGGATCTCAAGGGCTTGTGATGCAGGTCATGGAATCAACTATCCCAGCAAGGGGCAAAGAGGATTTATTTTCCTCT